CGTATGATAGAAATTGAGATAGCGACCGAAGTGTTTATTTCTGCAGTTACACTCGCTGTATTTTAATTTTAATATAAAGTTAGTTTTTTTAATTTTTTTTTTTTGACTCCTCTCCAGCATGTGCATTATTAAATTATGAAAAATATTCGATGTATAACAGATTTATTAAATATATATGTATGCAAATTGGTAGAATCGTAAATATGCATATATCATTGATAGATCGATGTGTAAAAAATAAAAATCCGTATGTACAATATATACAAAAGATCACACAGTTAGCAAGTTGAAGTAAAGTGAGCGAATTAAAATATTTGTGAAAGGACTCATCGTACTCCTCGTGTGATTATTTGTTGTATTCTTATACTACTAATCTTTATGCAGTTAAAAACCATGACGCACAGGAAACTAGAGAAATAAAGACGTAATAGCGAATAAGTCAATCACACAGTAGAGACCGTAAGATAATAACCTTATTATTACCACGTCTTTTATTGTAAGATAATAATCTTATTATTACCATGTCTTATTGTTTAAGTTCTTTTTATATGCCGTAACCTTTACAGTTTTAATATATGCTTTCCTGCATGTTTTTATTTATTCGTTATATTCAAGTCGTTCAATTAAATAATACTTTTAACGTCCTAATAAGCGATATGTTATCGTAAATTATTGTCGCGGTGAATAATAGGCGGAAATTGGTGAGATCGTTATTAGCTTGTTTTTTTGCGCTCTCTCTCTAAGGGAAAAAGCACTCGATACTGATCCAATTAGACTCTACGATCTTCTCCGCTGACTCGGCTCGTCTCAGAGAGTAGAAATTTGCTGAAAGCTGGAGTCTAAAGAGTCACGTGGATATTGCGTCATAGTTAGCCACTTTGCTGGGGAATGATTACTCCCTTTCGAGCATCCTACGCCTTTTTACCTCGTGCATGCCCTAGAGAGTGTGTAAAAGAAGATTGCAAATTTAACTTAACTAATAATTTGTCTCTAAACATTAATATACAGTTCTGGGGCGTGTGTAAAGATTAATTATCTTCTTTAAAAATTACTTCTTATACTTTTACCTCTATAAGATTAAATGAATTTCGATTTATTTTGCGATATCGCAAATTTGTTATCTGCTTGAAGTTACAATTTATAAAATATTGTATATTCAATATATCATATAAACACTGTAAATAATAAAATGTTAATTTTAACTTAAAAATGTATAGTGGACTTTCTTGAGACATGCAAAAATGATAAAATTAACAAAACTGAATATATAACGCTCACTTGTAACTAAACGATATAAAAGTGACACTAGAGTGTATGTAATAGCTAGATTACAGTTGCTAAAACATAATATTTCAGATAATATCAAATAAAATATACACTTTTATATTGTTTAGCTAAAATTAACATTTTATTTTTTACAGTGTAATAATGTTCTAATTGTAATTAAATTAAATTCGGAGATGAAAAATCGGTTTTATTTTATATTAATTGCACCGATTTTTATATTTTTGTCAAAAAAAATGTTGCGATCTGAGATCATTAAGAATCACACCCCTAGAAATTTTGATACAAATCTTCGGATTCGTATACTTGATGGAAAAATCGATATCTACTTCTGATGATATCAATGTAAATTCTAATATCTTGTAGCAGTAACGCCGTGATAAGAACGATGCTCAGGGCAAATTTACGAAAATGTCATCATAAATTTACAATGCCGCTCGTACGCCTTCTCTTCCGAGGCGTCACCTGACGTAGTTTGAGGTGGTAAGTGCCGAGGGTGGCACCAGCTATATCGCGGCTTCTAATTTCCACCGGCGACCTTGGGCAAAGAAATCGTAAATTTCCCACGCCCACGAGAGTTTTACCTGGGCGTGGCAGGCACGACGAGAAGAAACAGATAGAGATGGCCGAAGGGATGGGAATCTTTTCCCGAGAATTGAAAGCTCTTTTATTTTTGCGATATTCCAACGGTTCATTTGTCCTCGAAATGTTTCTTTGTCCCAAACAATTTTACATGTTTTGCAGCTTTTTTATTCTTATCATTACAAAGTCATAAAAATATTTCCTTTCCCGAATAGAAATGTATCGTCGGAAAAGTTGCTCTCAGCAAAGTAAAAGCATATTTCTTTAACCAGAAGAGTGAATTCTGATCTCCTGATTTTCTCGAATCTTTCTTTACGGTACAGAATACGAATCGGCAAGAATGAAGACTGTAATAACTGTAAAAATTATTCATTAAGTCAGTAATAAAATATAACGCTTTTAATTTTTACTTTTAGTAGACGAAAAACAATTAGAGTGCGTCGTTTAGCGCATTTAAATTGTCATGTAGCTTTTAGATCTCGAATTTTGCTGTTCCTCATGATAAATTTCAATTGCACTTCAATTTTACAATGTATTTCCGCTACATAGTAGCGATTATAGCACAACCTGTACTTTGCATACTGTTGTTGGGGAAAGTCCACGACCATACCCCGTAATCAAAGCACTTTCGCTTCGCCAAGTCAAAAGCAGTAAACACATTTCGTATCTTGGCGCAGGTGCGCATCCTACTTTGGTACATTGAAAAAAATTTACAAAATCTTAATACATATTTCTTTTTATTTAGTACTAAGTAAACGTTTACTTACACTAAATAAATATTTACTCAATAAAAAAAGATAGGTAAATTAAATTGATGGTTCGTATACTAAATAAATATATATTTAGTAAATATATTTAGTAAATATTTACTCTTAGAACTCTATTCGAACATTATATTTTTATTACCAAGGTCAAACATTTAATTAATTCCTTTGTCACAGGATGGACCATGAGGAAACGTGGTGCCGGCTGGTTGTAGACGAACGGTCGGCCACGCTTGCACCCCATCGTCGCTCGTCGTTGTTGACAAGTTCCCGGTACGTCCAATTCCGAAGCAAGCGGCAGGTGTCGCATATAACAGCAGACGCGAGTTCGATAGGTGCGATAATCGGGGGTGGCTCGGTTGTTGCCGCCGCCGGGCCGGCGATGCGACGATGAGCTCGCCGAGGGTGTTGCTACCCCTCCACACCCGACCAAAGGTGAGACAATCTTGAAACTTTTTTCATTGTTTTTTTGCTGACCTTACATGCGTCTACTTCTCCTTGTCTTTTTTTATTAATTGGCAAGATTTTCATTGGGTATATAATTTTCAATTATCTTTTTGTGATTGAAACGCGATATTTTTTTTAATATTGGGTGAGTGTACAAATTCGTGCTCAGTTTATTATTTAAAATTCAAACAGCTGTTTCTTTTTGTTAAAAATAAAATAAAATTTAAATCCTAAACTCTATCTGATGAGAGAATTTAAGAATCTGTTTTTGTAAATTATGATGATTTTGATGGAGTTATGAGCAATCAAAGTCAAAATATTTCTTTTATTTAATCCGTAACAACTCAGTAAAGAAAAATCGTAGAAAAACACGATATTTTTTAAAAACGATTTTATAGGGAAAATTTTAAAAAGCTTTAAACTTTTACATTAGAAATTAAAAAATTTTTGCAAATTTTTCTTGGACATGTGACAGGTCTACAAAAGAAAAAAATAAAGAAAAAAATTTCCTGTTTTGTTTAATTCGTAATTTTTTATATGTCTATAAATTACAAAATTCACGTTTAAAAGTAGACATTTCAAGCTTTAAAACTCTTTTTTTAAATTTAAATTTCGTTTATTTTTAACAAAATTGCAGCTGTTTGAACTTTGAATAATAAATCAGGCATGAATTTTTGCAATAGAAGTATTTAAAAAAAAAAAAGAATTAATTAATTGACAATTTACCACGCAAAAAATCACTCTGTTCTTAAATATTTTCCATTTCTTAAATTGATACTTTTCCTAATTGAGAAATGTCACATTTTTTGGAAGCTAAATTATATTCGAATAAATTATTTCTAGTTTGATAAGCATTTCTAATATCGATACGTTAAATAGCTAAAAGAGATATGTAATATTTTTGTGAAAACACAAAATTATCCTCCAAATAAATCATTATTTTTTATTTTATTTGGCATATAGAGGGGCTATCTTGTGTAACATAAAACATCACGTTTATTATACATCAAACTTTAATTCGAGCAATCTTGAGATATTATTGACATGGCAATACACGGTGTATATATATCTTATTGATTCATTTATTTTTTCGATTTTTACATAATAAGGGGAAAGTAACGAAACGTATAATCACGAAGTGCGAAAATATTGGTGCGCGAAGTAATATTGCTTCTTCTTCGTGCCTAGCGTGCGTTACATTGCGAAACCCGACAAACAGAATGCAGAAGAACGTTGTTATTGCGAATGATGACGGTTTCGTGCCTAAGTCTCTCACCTTTGTGTCTCGACAGCCCCGTGTAATAGCAAGGCCGGGTAGTCTCGAAAACTGCATCAACCAGGCCGAGCGACGAGGTGCGGCAGGCGGTTCAAGGCCGAAACTATCCGCGTGGCCATGGACCACGAGACGAGGAACGGAACCGGCAGCAACGACAACGAGGAGTACACCAATATTTACTTCATCGTCGGCGACCGCAGGGAAACGGCCACTTATAAGGCGAACCAGGTCACGGACATGGAACTCAAGGGTGAGTGGGAAAGTTTTATTACCTCGCTGGTGAAAAGTTTCGTCGACTTTTCTGTCGTCCTAGAATAAACTTTTTTATTTATTTAACGCACCGTTCGCGAAATATTCGTGCGTGGTGAGAAAGTGCACACACGTGTTGTGCGCGGTGGGGAACGTTCAACTAGTTCTCATAAAATCGCCGTCGTATATTGACGAAAATAAAAGGGAATTCTAGATTAATTGCAAGTTATATTAATGTTTTCATAAAATCAAAACGCTTGAAATGCCCATTTTTATAAAGACATTTTTATTAGGAAATTAAATATGGAAATAACTTTCACATGTTTATTAATATATACAATACATTTAAAATTGTGCAGGAGTTTTAGGAGAGGTTGTTAGCAAATGGAGTAAATTTTTAATATGAATATAGTAATAATTTATATCAGGAACGGTAGCGAAATTGCAATAAAAATTTGTAATTACATCGCGGATAAAATAATTTTCCTACGGAAAAGTACTATAAGCCAACAATATTCGCTGTGTGCGTAAAAATATTATAAACTTGTTAATATAAGTTCTTAAGTTGGATATTAATGGCTAATTAAAACATTTAGAAGATAACTTTTTCAAAGACTCAAGATTATTCTTACTATCCATATTAGACATCCGTATAATAAACGCTTAAGAATTTTTATCGCCATTAAGGTTCCACAAGTCTAGATATGAATACGATAAGAACGTGTTACTTATTCAAGAGTATTCAATTTATCAGCAATCCAACTGAATTGCAAGAGAAAGAAGCGCGAAAGTTAGCCGTCCATTAATCTTTCGACAAGAAAAATATTTTATCCTGAAGCCGAATATCTTACACTTGAAGGCAAATATCCTATTCTGTCCTATACGTCTTGAACCTTTCACTCGAGCTTCATTCACCACGCGAGTGTAAAGTATACTTCGCGGGGTAAAAAAGTGTGAGGAGCTTCTTCCCGTCAATGTCCCGTATATCGGAAGGCAAGTGAATATTTGACGTTCGTCAAATGAAAAGATTTAATCAATTATCGATTGTGGCGCGACATGACGCGACACGCGAGCCAGCCAATCCTGCGGACGAGACGTTCGCTTTACGCTTTTGCCCGTCGCCCGATATGAAAGCTTTTCCTTCGAAGCATTACCAAAATTATGTTTGCACACACTTCACCTTCGTACCGTGACCTATCGACCGAACCGCCGCGCCATGCCGTGCCGTGCCGTTTCTCTTTGCTACGCTCGGTCAAGTGGCCGACCAAACCGACGCCCCTTACGACCTCCCTCCGTCTGTAGAGGGTAAAATGACATGAGCACGCACTTGTGCCGCAACTTGTGTCCCAACTCTTTCAAACCCTCTCTCACGGTTGGGATAATTTTCTCGGTTTTGAGGCGATCTCGAGAGCGTACGAAGCAGTCAGATTGAATTTTTTATCCTCCACGACCGTTAATACTTAGCTCATATTTCAGCTACCTAATTTTAACGTCTTTTCCATCTTGCTTTTCTTTCCTCTTTCCTCTTTTTTTCGGTTGACATAGTTTTTCTCTTTCCGCCACTTTATAGCATACCGTATTTTATCATGGACTTTATGCGTTGGCTGCAATGCGCATTATACTTTACAATATATTACACATTAGTTGTACTTTTATTATTATAAATACCTTTCCCGTTGTTACTGCGGCGC